TATCGATAACCGAGGGGGTCCGAGTGGATTTGATCGAAAATGGCAGCCGCATATAATTATGGCAAGCCAAGTTGTCATTTATTCATGGAGCAATGTTGATCCAGTACTTAACTGAATTATCGCCAACGAAAACGGATGTGACCTCACAACGGGAGCAGTCATTTTCAAACATTTCTTCTTTGTCCTTCTCGCGAGAGTCTCGTTCTTTATAAGATATCTCAATTAATTTTCTTTATAAGAAATCTTATATATTATATAGGATATTTTATATCTTTTATGAGATATCTAATACAAGAGGCCCAATGGGCCTGAATCGCTCACCTGGTATTAATATCACACTTCTAATCTTAAAAGTGGACTAAAATACAGCTGCAGGCAGAATATCAGTGTTTGATTCATAAGAACCTATTAAAGGATTTAAACATATGACGCCTGTGACCTTGAATAACGAACAAGGACATTAGTTTGAACAGAGTTTATAGTCTTCCAACCCAGCATGCTTCTAGCAAAATAGCATTACCCTGGCACTTTTGGTTATACAGAACAAATCATTTAAAGATTTTAATATATATTGACCACTGTGACCTTGAATATGGGCGAAGGTAATTCATTTGAACAAACTTGGTAGCCCTTAATCCCAGCATGTTAATGGCCAAATATTATCACCTTTCGGCCTTTTGATTATTAAGAAAAAGTCATTCAAAGGTTTTAAACATATTTGACCCCTGTGACCTTGAATATATGTCAAGGTCATTCATTTGAACAGACTTGGTAGCCCTTCATCCCAACATGTTACTGGCCAAATATCATCACCCTAGGCCTTTGAGTTATTCATAAGAAGTTGTTTAAATGTTTTAAACATATTTGACCCCTGTGACCTTGAATATAGGTCAAGGTCATTTATTTGAACAAACTTGGTAGCCCTTCATCCCAGCATGTTACTGGCCAAATATCATCACCCTGGGCCTCTCGGTCATTCATAAGAAGTTGCTTAAATGTTTTTAACATATTTAACCCCAGTGACCTTGACTATGATTCAAGGTCATTTATTTAACCAAACTTGGTAACCCATCATCCCAGCATGTCACTGGCTAAATATCATCACCTTAGCTCTCTTGGTTCTTCAGAAGAAGTTGTTTAAAGGTTTAACCATATTTGATTCCTGTGACCTTGAATATAGGTCAAGGTCATTTATTTGAACAAACTTGGTAGCCCTTCATCCCAGCATGTTACTGGCCAAATATCATCACCCTAGGCCTCTTTGTTATTCTTCAGAAGTCGTTTAAAAGTTTTTAACATATTTGACCCCTGTGACCGTGAATATGGGCCAAGGTCATTTATTTGAACAAACTTGGTAGCCATTTATCCCAGCATGTTACTGGCCAAACATCATCACCCTAGGCCTCTTGATATTTCAGAAGGGGATGTTTAAAGATTTTAACATATTCGACCCCTCTGACCTTGAAAATGGATAAAGGTCATTTATTTGAACAAACTTGGTAGCCCTTCATCACAGCATGTTACTGGCCAAATATCATCACCCTAGGCCTTTTGGTTACTGAGAAGAAGTTGTTCAAATTAAAAAGTTGACGCCGGACGGATGCCGGACGGACGACGCACCATGCCATAAGCTCACTTGGCCAGGTGAGCTAAAAATTGAACAAATTTAATTACATGAGATTGAAGAAAATTTCTTTTGAAATCCAAAATTCTAAATTTCTTAATTTTGCTGATGTTATACATCAAAGTTATGAAAAAATACTTAATTTTGTCAGATTTTTGAGTTTGTTAACATGCTACATTGTATTAACATAATTACCTTGCTATTAATGAATGATACTTTCCTTCAATTGAAAATAACTAAATGACCATATTTTCATGAATTGTATTGATGTTGTCCCATGTAATTTCACAAGAGGGTACTGAGCACAGAAGCAAGTCAGGAACTGGACTCCCCTTTATAAGGAGGCTTCTTGCCACCCTTACCCTTCTTATCCTTGGCCTTGAAGACTGGCTTAGATTTAATCTAAGCAGAATGGTGCTTGGGGTTATGCCTAAGCTTCTTCAGGGCAGTCCAAACACTCTACGAAGAGCTAGGACCTCTTGACCTGGGTCAATAAACGGCTAAAAATAACCTCAAATGGCTCTTAGGGCCAACTGAAATAAAATCAACATTGACAAAACAACAGGAAGAAATTAAAAAATGTTTATTACAATTTTGAACAAATATTTATATAAATATATATCTATATCAATATCACTATATAAAAGTTTCAACCTAACAAATAAAAGTACAGGGAATGCAGCTTTTTGGAAAAGATCAGGGCCCATATTCACACCTTCTCATGCTCAGGTATGGATTCTGTGCTCAAACCATATTTTCATGTAAAACAATCAAAAAATTAAAAATCTTAAATTAAACAAGAGGCCCAAGAGGGCCTGTATCGCTCACCTGAATATTTAAGCAGTCATAGCAAAATATTCTCATTAAATATTATATTGCACTTAAAATATATCCCTCGCAAACTTTGTTGGCTTCATCTGTTGAAACTACCAGCAAAATATTATTATAAGATTCTATGCTTTTTGATTCTTCTTCAGAGTTGCTTGACATATTTTCCCCTGTGACCTTGTAAGTAGGTCAATGTCATTTTCCTTCTCAAATTGGTTAGCTCTATTCCAAAATGCTACCAGCCAAATCTTATGAATCCATTCCTTTTAGTTCTTGAGAACAAATCCTTTAAAATGTTGTTGACCTCTGTGACCTCTAAAGTAGGTTGAGGTCATTTTCATTCAGAAACTTTGGTGAGCTCTATCCCAGGAAGTCACCAGCCAAATATTATAATTTTATGAATTTTAATTCTTCAGAAGAAGTAGTTTGAACTGTTTGACATATTTGAACGCTGTGACCTTGAAAGCAAGTGAAGGTTATTTGCATTCGCAAACTTTGTTTGGCTCTTTCCCAGGAAATAACCAGCCAAATATTAAGGTTCTATACCTTCCTGTTCTTCAGAAGAAGTTGTTCTAAGCGTTAGACATATCAGACTCATGTGACCTTGAAAGTAGGTCAAGGTCATTTTCGTTTTCAAACTTTTTTGGGCTCTTTCCCAGGAAGCCACCAGCCAAATATAAAGATTGTATACCTTTTAGTTCTTCAGAAGAAGTCGTTTGAGCATTGGACATATTTGATTGCTGTGACCTTGAAAACAGGTCAAACTAATTTTCATTCTCAAACTTTGTTGGGCTCTATCCCAGGAAGCCACCAGCGAAATATAAAGATTCTATACCTTTCAGTTCTTTTAAAGAAGTCGTTTGAAGTGTTAGACACATTTGACCCTGTGACCTTAAAAGTAGGTCAAGGTTATTTTCGTTCTCAAACTTTGCTGGGCTCCATCCCAGGAAGCCACCAGCCAAACAGAAAGATTCTATACCTTTTAGTTCTTCAAAAGAAGTCGGTTTTAGCGTTTGACATATTTGACCCCTGGGACCTTGAAAGTAGGTCAAGGTTATTTTCGTTCTCAAACTTTGTTGGACTCCATCCCAGGAAGCCATCAGCCAAATAGGAAGATTCTATACCTTTTAGTTCTTCAGAAGAAGTCGTTTGAAGTTTTTGACATATTTGACCCCTTTGACCTTGAAAGTAGGTCAAAGTCATTTTCATTCTCAAACTTTGTCAAGCTCCTACCAACAAAGCTTTCAGCCAAATATCATGACTCTAGGCCTGTCCGTTCTTCAGAAGAAGTTGTTTAAAGGAAAAGTTGACAGACAAGGACGGACGGACGGGTGAGCTTCGGGCAGGTGAGCTAAAAAGTGTCTTGCTTTAGGTCTCTTAATTTTTTTTATATACATATTTTTTTTTTAATAATTCAGAACTGAAACCAGAAATTATGAGTACAGGCCCAGAACACAAAAAAACAACCTTTTTAGGTAGTAATTAGGTACCACAGAAAATTAATATAAACGTCTCTTAATACAGATACTACTGAAACTGTTACCTACAGGACACTGATCTCTCATAACTTAACATGTATTTAGGTACATTTATAACCAAAACAGACAGGACACTGAACTCTCATAACTTAACATGTATTCAGGTACATTTATAACCAAAACACACAGAACACTGATCTCTCATAACTTAACGTGTATTCGGGTACATTTATAACCAAAACAGACAGGACACTGAACTCTCATAACTTAACATGTATTCAGGTACATTTATAACCAAAACACACTGGACACTGATCTCTCATAACTTAACGTGTATTCGGGTACATTTATAACCAAAACAGACAGGACGCTGATCTCTCATAACTTAACGTGTATTCAGGTCCATTTATAACCAAAACACACAGGACACTGATCTCTCATAACCTTTTGTGTATTCAGGTACATCTATAACCAAAACACACAGGACACTGATCTCTCATAACTTAATGTGCATTCAGGTACATTTATAACCAAAACAGACAGGAAACTGATCTCTCATAACTTAACGTGTATTCGGGTACATTTATAACCAAAACAGACAGGACACTGATCTCTCATAACTTAATGTGTATTCAGGTACATTATAACCAAAACACACAGGACACTGATCTCTCATAACCTTTTGTGTATTCAGGTACATCTATAACCAAAACACACAGGACACTGATCTCTCATAACCTTTTGTGTATTCAGGTACATCTATAACCAAAACACACAGGACACTGATCTCTCATAACCTTTTGTGTATTCAGGTACATCTATAACCAAAACACACAGGACACTGATCTCTCATAACCTTTTGTGTATTCAGGTACATCTATAACCAAAACACACAGGACACTGATCTCTCATAACCTTTTGTGTATTCAGGTACATCTATAACCAAAACACACAGGACACTGATCTCTCATAACTTAACATGTATTTAGGTACATTTATAACCAAAACACACAGGACACTGATCTCTCATAACCTTTTGTGTATTCAGGTACATCTATAACCAAAACACACAGGACACTGATCTCTAATAACTTAACGTGTATCTAGGTACATTTATAACCAAAACAGACAGGACGCTGATCTCTCATAACTTAACGTGTATTCAGGTCCATTTATAACCAAAACACACAGGACACTGATCTCTCATAACTTAACGTGTATTTAGGTACATTTATAACCAAAACACACAGGAAACTGATCTCTCATAACTTAACATGTATTCAGGTACATTTATAACCAAAACACACAGAACACTGATCTCTCATAACTTAACGTGTATTTAGGTACATTTATAACCAAAACAGACAGGACATCGATCTCTCATAACTCATATTTTGTAAACCCTACATTTGTTGTTTTTCACAATATTCGGAAATACATCCTAATTCAAAATGTCAAATGATTTGATTTTTGGGAGAAAAATGAAAATATCACAGTAATTTATCAATATTAAATCATTGATGTTCACAATCCTTCATGCAAGACTTTTTAAAAGATGAATACATTTTGTACTACAAGTACTTTATCTGGGGGTTTTACCCTCAGTACATCTCCCTCTTTAAACATAAATGACCATGTATGGCTGGCTATTCAAGAGGGTTGTCATTACATTGGCATTTGTGTAATTTCAAATAGACATTTCTTCATAAGGGTACAGAACTCTTTCACTTACTGGCACGTTACCTTAGACTTTCTACCTTTGATTTCTGTGTGAGTTGTGTCCCTTAAAAAACATGACATTAGTATTTTCTAATATTTTAGAATTTCTTGAATGACATCAATGCATTCAAATCTGTATATTTTTCATTTTTTTTTTTCAATATGTCATCAATTCATTTAAAAAGTCCAGCTAATTTATTCATGGGAGATTTATGCATCTTACATGTAAATTAATGCAAAACGCTTTGTGGAATTCTTTTTTGTACTGGTAAGGTGTATTCTGAAGTAAGATAGTGGATATTCTTAAAAACACAAGATTTTTGTTCTCAAAAATTTACAATAACATTTTGAAGATGTGTCAACAAAAAATTCAGAGGAAGTAGCAGCTATGCAGTAGCAACATTATCTTATAATGTGTATTATGATCAGGAATAGAAACTCATGTTAAATAACAAAGATTCTTACTTTTTCCAATAGATATAAGATTTATGAAATGAGGCTGTAAGTTTTCAGTAGTTTCAGCAAGGACATGTGGAGGTAATGTATGGTGTTTAAACTTCACAAAGTGTTGTTGTTGCTATATATTGACATTTTGACAAAAATCTGCAAATTCTAAACACCTGTGAGGTATTAGCACTCTGTCACTACTATTTATGCTGTTTATCACGTGGGGATCGGGTGCTCAGCGAATACGCTTTGGATGCATAAAAGGAAAACAAATTGGAACATTATACAGTAGACAAAAACTGTTATAAAACTCCTATAACATGGAAACAAGGTTTAGTCAACACTACTGTATACAGGGAAAATTTTGCCATGTCAAACTTTCGCCCTTTGCCCATGAAATCAACTTTCGCCCAGTGTTAATCTCGCCCTTCACATATAATTAATACATATATTATGCTGTTTACTTATCTTCGCTGTAAGGGTAAATTCGCCTTCATTATGGAGGACGAAAAAGGAGAAAATCTCCCGGTGAACAGTATCAAGATATGGAAATATCCCCATCATGTTTTCACTGACCCTCGCCGAGTCATCAACCCTATATTTGTTAAGGAATATGTTATGTCTTCCACGGGACGTAAAATGGATGTCATTATACGAGGTAATAAACAGCCGAGGTAAAATATACATACACACAATTCTCTCATATATAAATAAACTTTATTTATTTTACAACAATTATGACACAAGTTAAAAACTTATACTAATCACTCTTGTTGGCCCGGTTTTTAGCATGCAGTAGGCTTCAATAAAAAAGGACACCAGAGTACCTGGAGAAAACCGACGTGATCGGGCAGGTGACCCCATACCTTTTCATGTCCAATCAGGGAATTAAACCTCAGTCACACTTTGCATCACCCGGTCATCCTTCTCTCATAAAGCCTGGGAGTCGGGTGAACACTTGTGTGTGGTGTTACTTCTTTAACAAACATGCATGTATATTTACAAAATGTCACTCACCATTACCCTGTATAAGTGTTTAACCCTTTCACCACTGTAGACCATCATGGACTCATCCAGGTGAATGTATGGTAGATCGAGTCAACTCAAGTTACCTAGGGGTGAAAAGGGTTAATTTGCATCTGTAAAACATGAAGCAGACAAAACGATGTTGTGGACGGAATATTGATGTCATTTACCATTGCATATAACAGTGCTGAATGTTCAGAACTCATTCTTGTTTCAATTCTTCCATTTAACCAGTGGATAACAACTAACTAATACATTCTAGCGTAAAAAGGAGTTTACTGGGGTCATATACAACAGCTTATATTACAGAGTGAAATACATCTAACCTTGTACTGCATAGTCTGAACAGTGACTGTAATTTATTGTAGAAAGATTCACCAAGTATGAAATAAATGTATATACAATACCAACAAGTACAATTTAATTGATGATACAAAGATATTAATATCAAATAAAAGTTTTCAAAATAAGCACTGCCTTTAAAAAAATGATAAATATGTGTGCACTGACTGGGTGACAGTCTTTGCATTTAAAAGCACTTTGTTTTTTCTAAAAAAAAATCAAAGTGGTGGAATGAAAATATGGCTTAGAAAAAAGAAGCCAGTCTTTTTATATATGACCTTGTTTGGTCAATCAATGATAACAATAATTAAATGAAGTCGTACACAAAGGTGGTGAAGACTTGCGAACAATCAAACAACCAGCCTCAGAACAAGGTGAAGACTTGCCAACAAACAACCAGCCTCAGAACAAGGTGGTGAAGACTTGCCAACAATCAAACAACCAGCTTCAGAACAAGGTGGTGAAGACTTGCCAACAATCAAACAACCAGCCTCAGAACAAGGTGGTGAAGACTTGCGAACAATCAAACAACCAGCTTCAGAACAAGGTGGTGAAGACTTGCCAACAAACAACCAGCTTCAGAACAAGGTGGTGAAGACTTGCGAACAATCAAACAACCAGCCTCAGAACAAGCACATTGTGTTGTTGTCGAACAAATCGAAAAAAATAAAATGAAAAAATAGAGAAATCTTAAAGAATTTTCTTACTTTTCATATCATTTTCCATCAAAACAGTTGCTATGCAAAAGATAATAATTCTATTTTATTCACAATTTCACACAGATCTCTATCCAGTCCATTTAGAGGTATGCACACATACACTGCAGATATTTGTATAGCTATTTACATTGAATATGATTTTTTTGGCACAAGGTTTCAATGACACAGCCATCTTTACACACATAAATGGCTGTGCCATTCAAATGTTGTGCCAAAAAAATCATATTTAATGAACTTTTTTAGTTAAAAAGACTGTTACCATACAAAAAAACTATATCTGTTACCAACTTCTAAAGGTCAGTCACCTGTGTGTTCGCTACCTTCATCTCCCATTACAATGGCCATCATGTAATGGATTTTAGGAACCGAATACAACTAGTACTTAGATCAAAGGAAGCACACCTAACACATTAAGATCAGAAAAAAATGTTTTGATCTCCAACTACGAAAACCAGGAATGTTTATAATGCACAGTCAATGCCACATGTTATACAGCGTAACTGATGCTAGTACATTGTAAAATGAAACATCATCGTAATGCAGATATCAAACTGTGTCCAACACTGATAATAGACTAAAGATGGCATACCATACACCAAGATATTTCTGTAATCGAGTTTAAAAATGAATTTGCCTTCTTATTCAGGATGAGGCAGTATTTCTTCACGGTAAAGAACTGCTGTATGGTAGTGCAATGTTTGGCACAATATTACACTGGGGACTAACTGAATCATAGGTAACAAGTGTTTAACACAGAAATGTAAACACGGATACATTATTTGTCAAAACTTACTTTCACCACAAAACAATGGCCAGGAGGAATCTATTGTAACGAATATAAACCATGTCAATCTTTATAACTGATCAATATTTCTATATAACTGTCAATGTAATGATTGTACCACGCTAATAAATATGACAATAAACTATAGAACTCATGACAAGCCGTACAGAGTGAAGAAGGGAAGTAACTCTGCAATGTCCTGATAATTGCAATGACATGAATGTCCCTTTCCTGTATCTGGTTCAACCAGTTCGTCTGTTTTTAAATGATACATTTTCGGATATAAATCTATGCGAACCTGCAAATGTTTATGCAGACCTTGGAAGGCTTTTTCAAGGCTCGCCAGAAAGCAGCATGAACAATTCTGGTCCAACCGGTTTAACTGTTTGGATCGGGATAAACGAACGTTGCCCTGGGCCACTGTTGGCTATTCAGATTTGCAGAATGTGCCTATAATTTTTCCTGTATCGAGTATTCAAATATACATGATATGATTTTAAAGATATCCTTCCCTATCGCCTTAGGCAAAGAACCACTGGTTCTTCATGGCAATCAAAAGTTCTACAGAGCATAAATCATTAAACAGGCAAAATATGGTAAAATATTGAGAATTTTACAGTAAAATACATCTACAGTGTTCTAATATAGCTCTGGGGAATCCCCTTAACAATGATGTCATGGAGATTCCCCCAAAAATAATATTATGCCAGGATGCCATCAAGATTGATGCAGAACAGGGAAAGACTTATATAATTAGCGAGCAGTCCAGCTAACAATTTACAGGCAGTTAAGGTTCAGTGTCCGGTTAAAAATCGTTGTGGAAAGACGTTGGTGGCGTTTGTCAGTCCGTGTCGTCCGTACACACTTGTCCTGTAAAGCATTTGCTCCATGAACGCCATGGTGGCTGCATCAACATGATGGTAGGAAACGGAGAACTGACTACAGCAATCGGCTCCCTGAAAACAATTACCAATCAAATTAGTCCCCTATAAATAACCAATGAACATAGATAACCAATCATAATTACTCAACACCACCAATGAAAGCATGTTTCATAAATGGGGTCCTTTTCAAAGGTCAGATATAGAAAGTATACAATACTTATACTATCACTGATAAATACACTATTAGTAATCGGGCATATCCCTTCTAAATTCATCAGTATAATATGCCATATTTGCTGTCAAAAGAAGTGACTCGGAAGAAAGATGACTTGACGGCGGAGGAAAAACACAATATGTCCCCTAAAACACTGATTAGACAATAGGACAAAAGATTAGTGATGTCTAGATTACGGTAATGAGGCTCAATAGTGGGAAAACTGGATAAGTGGTGGCTGGATTAACAAGGTTGGATAGTGGGATAACTGGATAAGTGGTGGCTGGATTGACAAGGCTGGATAGTGGGATAACTGGATAAGTGGTGGCTGGATTGATGAAGCTGCATGGTAGAACAACTGGATTAGATAGAGGTGGCTGGATTAAATAAAGGCTGGATGATAAAACAAGAGGCCCATGGGCCTTAACTGTCACCTGATATATTTATACAGAGAGTTGATTTTGTTTTTAACATGAACAGAAATATTATTCAAAGTGACAAAAAATAATAAAACCACCTTATTCAATATCTAGCATACAGATTTCAGACTAAAAAGTATTTGAAACTAGCACCTCTGATTCTAAACAAGGAAAATGAAGAAATTTTAGCACACTGACTCCTTTGAGCCCAACCCTACAGCCCTTGGGGTAGGGCTGGCTCAAAAATTTCAAAGTATTAAACTGTCAACTCAAGGTTATAATTCCAATCAAGCTATTAACATGTAATATTCAAAGTATCATTTGCCATTATAAACCATAATAAATTTTGCCCCCACCCCCTCCTTCCCCAGGGGGTAAACGTGAGACCCTAGGGTCATAAACCTTAAGACCCTTCCATCTATGAAGAGTATTTGATTCTACCATATCTGGGTCTTGAGAAGAAGATTTTTGAAATTTCAGT